CTGCCTTGCCCCGATCCTGCAAGGACCACCACGCCCAGCTCCCTTTAGAACCAAAAGAGGATTTCTAGACATCTGCGCGTGGTGGGGAGAGCGATGCCTGGCCGGGGACCGTGCCAGCCCATCCCCGGCGACACTTTGCGGTCACTAATGACGACTGCCTCGCCCGCTTTTTGGCGGCAAGGTGCGCCATCATGGCCAGGCAACACGAAGCCTTGGTACATGCATCTGCTCTGTGTGAGATTTTCTGGCCAGGATTCTCGTGTGCTGCAGGCTTCCCGCCAGCTTCGCGCCTCGACGCCAACAGGCGGCTGTCAGCTCTCCATCTGGACAACCTTCTCCTTCGACCCCTGCGCCATCGACCCTCGCGTCCCATTCCTGCGTCACCAGAAAAATTGCAGTGTCAAATGCAACATTGTTACAGCAGCCCCGACCCCGGTCCCCCCGGCCGCCGCCCAAATGCGTCCGCTGCCGCCTTGTCAGACAACCGCAGGCCTGAGGCCGTCCCGATCGATATCATCCCCACTGCGCCGCCGCCGCCGCCGGGCTGGCGCAGCAGCGGCGTCAGCTCCGGCACCCCTTTGATCACCGGCACTGACGAGAGCTGTGCGGCCCGCAACCGCTCGTGAGAGTAAAGGCAGAACCCTGCCACACAAAGGACGAATGTGAGCGGCCGGGTGGGGAGGGGTGAGCGGGCGGGCGGTGGGGCAGTCCTCAGCCAGGTCGCATCGCAGTCAAGTGGGGGTTGTTGCGCAGCTGACGACCCGCTTTGATCCAGGCGACGGCTCACCAAGTATAGCTAGCGTGCCGCCTGCGACGAATTTGAAGGTCCAGATCGCTCCCTCGCCTGGGGGTGCCGGTCGCGCGGGGCGCGTCAGGGCCCACGCCGCGGCCCGGCTGCATGCAGCTTGCGCGTGACATCGCCCGGACAAGCGAAAGCATGGCCATGGTGCGGCATGGGCAGCCGCAGCTGCAATTGGGCCTGAGCCCAGCTGCAGGCGCAATCGGTCCACGCCAGACGAAGCTGTGCAGCTCGGCACACCAAACTCACCCATTCGACCACCCAGCTAGGCAGCCACCCACCCAGCATGATTGCAGACAGCAGGAGGACCAGCACAATCTTCATTTCCCCAACTATCGTCATCGCCGTCGGGGTGGTGACGTGGATGACCAAGTAGTGACTAACATTGTAGGCCAAGGCGACCACGCACGTTAACAGCAGCAGCCCTGCTCGGTAAAATGTGAGGCATGCATGCACCGCAGTCAGGCTTGCAATTGAGTGAAGCTGCTCAGTATGTGATACTTCACTGGCAGACAAGCGCATGTTGCAGGCGTGGTTGCTGCAGCGCAGTGAAGCTGAGCCAAAAATGCACGGACGACAGGATGTCACTGATGGGCGCCCACTCAGGGGTGACCAGGATCACTGCGCGACGTCAGGGGGTAGTCACCCACCAACGTAACTAGACTCTGCCTGCAGCCGGTAAGCCGTCAGCGAGGCATACTCGAACCGCGCGTGGAAGGGCAGCAGCGCGAGGCAGGCCACGGGCGACGCATAAAATGTCAGCCGCAGCGCGTCGACCTGCAGAGCGGCGGCGCGACGGCGCGGCGGCGTGGAGCCGTGAGGAACGTGGGAGGGGCCAGCGTCGCGATGCAACCAGCGGGCGCGGCGCAGGGGGTCGCCAGTCGCGAGCTACCACAGCGAGGCGAAGCGCGCCCGGGCAGCGCCAGGGACAGAGCAGTCCCAGGTTCTCATGGCAAAGCATCACCTTTTCGCTCATCACTCGGGTGGAAAAGGACGCCGTGAGGCCGTTGCTGATCGTGCCCACGAGGCAGAGCGCCACGCCAACGAGGTTTTGCCGGCTGGTGACCTCGTCGAACGAGGCGACAAACACTCCCACGACCTGCAGTCAAGGTCGAGCCCAGGCAAATGCTTTGGTGGCACATATACATGCGTTGGCATGCATGGGTCGCTGCAGGTGATCGGACACAAAAAAATAAGCTGCGAAGCAGGCGGCGCTGAGCCAGGCATGTGCGAGAGCTCACTCCCTGATACCAAAGGCGGCCGCCAAGGGCAACGCATCGTCCCTCTGCAGCACCCCAGCACTGCCCAGTGTGATGTGTCAAGGGCATGGTCCAGCAAAGGGTGGCCGCGCACCAGCATGAGTAGGGCCAGCGTTTCGTTCAAACCGGGGGCCTTGCCCTCCCCCAGGACAGCAATCAGGCACGAAACCACAGGGACAGTCGACCTGGGGGGCAAGCCGCGAGGCGGGTTAGTGCACAGGGGCGCGTCAGGGGCATGGGGATGCGCGTGGGTGATTGGGCGCATGGGGGCAGGTGCGCTGGCGGAGGGCCCCGTGCCACTGGGGGAGAGGGACGGCGTTTGGTGGCGCGTTTGGGGCGCAGGGAGCGCAGCGCACGGCTGCCGCCAGGCCTCGCCAGCGCGGCGGGCCGTGTGGGCCGCCGCCGCTCTGGGGGCCGCCGGCCGCATGCGTCGCGCGGGGCCTACCTGATCAGTTGGTTGAGCGACAGGGACACCAGCAGCAGGGATGCGTTGTTGACCCCTATGTTAATCGCGAAGAAGCCGCCAACCGCCAGCAGGCCCGTCCACGAGCGCTCGAGCGTCTGCTTGTGCAGCTGCCGGAAGGCCGGCAGCAGCATCACTGGCAGCAACGCCGCGAAACAGAACGCCGCGTGGCAGCAGCCCAGGAACAACGGGAAGCCGAAGCCTAGGTGTGAGGGCAAGGACCGGGGAGAAGGGGCTGAGCGGCCTGCCCGCGGGTGTTTTGGGGGCGTGGTCAGGTTCTGAGGTGGGTGCTGAGGCACGATTTTGCACTTTTTTTAGCAGCGGGGAGCCGCGATGCCTGCACGGCCTGCGATGCGCATGCGGGCATACGCGCCGAGCCCTTGGTCTTGGGGCGCGATCACACCCGTGCGGACGCGCGAGCGCCCACCATAAAGGGATAGGAACCATTTGTTCAGGAGGTTTAGAGTGAGGTTCAGGGCCAGGAATGCTACCGTGATCACGACGCGCCCCGGCAACGAGGACTGCCAGGCGCCCGGCCCTCCCCCAGACGGGCCCGCTGCCATGGCGCGCCCGCCGGGCCGTCGCTACGCGTGTGCACGCCGGCCGGCGGCGGGGAAGGGGGGGCCGCTGGGTGATGGGAGAGCGCAGCCAGCCGGGCTCCGCGCGGCACACTGGCGCGGCGAGTGGGGTGCGCTACGTCCCGCAGCACCACATGCGGCGCCCTAATGTACTGCTGTGTACCGTCTCCTGTTGCTTATGAGATGAACAAGAACACACTTGCCGCGCTCGGCTGGTTGTGGCAAGACCGCTGAGCGCACGCTGACTGTTGCCCTGGCAAGCTATGATAATACCTCGACAGATCCAGCGTGTATGATACAGACAATTGCTATCTACTGCAGGGCTGCAAAAAGGATGCAGCGCACGGGTGGATGGACAAGAGAGCCTGGGTGAGTGCAGCCAGTGCCCCAACAGCAAACGGAGTTCGTGGAACGGTGCAGTCCACGTAAGACTTGAGTGCGCTGCTGAATGAATCTGTGTTGGGATTGTTTGACTCGTCCAGCAGGTTTCTGCCCAAGATCGTGAATCGGTGTGTCGTGCTGCGTCTACCAAGGGCAGTCAGCCGCGGCTTCACAGCTACGTGACTTACAGATACGACACCAAGTAAACTTCTATCCATTAGTCAAGGAAAGTCACGTTGGAAAACGCGTGAGGCGTGGGGGGGCGCTGCTGCAGCGTGCCCACAGCTGCTCGTGCTGCTGCGGGGACACCAGCGCGGCGGTGGAGCGGCAGGCCGGCCCCGTCCGACAAGCACGGCGGCGGCTGCCTTGCAATTCGGTAAGCCCAGCAAAATGCTGGCAGTGGGCCGTGCACCTCCTCTGCACCGCAGCGCCTCACGGCATCTGTTAGCGAACGAGCGTGTGCATTGAACGAGTGCATGCAGTGGAGGAGTGCGTGCACGAGCGGCGCGCCGCCGGCGACACTCGGTCCTACGCGCCACTCATACCCCTTGTCCACCAACAGATACCAAGAAGAGCTTGCGCGCATGCGCGGCGGCAACATGCGCTGACATGGTGCCGCACCCGCCGCCGCCTCAGCAACCGTACCTCGCGCGCGAGCCGCGCCACCAACAGTCGGCCCGGCGGCTGCCGCGGCCGGCCCCCGATGCAGCGGCCGCGCTCCCTCAGTGCTTTTTTGGCCCTCGAGGCCGTCTTTGGCGAGTCCCTGGCGCCGCCAGCAGGCAGCACCCTGCGGGCCAGCGCGGCGCTCGAGCTGCAAGCCCGACCAAACGGCAACATGCCGGATGACGACGGGGCTCATCACCACCAGCTGCACCACCAGCCGCAGCAGCAAGAGGATTTTCAGGAAGGGCACTTGGCGGGTGATCCAGCGGCGCACTCATGGCAGCTCCAGGAGCAACAGCAGCAGGGCCTGCAGTGGCCGCAGCCCCCGCCGGCCCCGCGCCAGCCGACCTCGACGCAAACGCTGCTGCTGCCGGCGGCGCTGCTCGCGCGCAACGGCAGCCCCAGCCCCGCCAACGGCGCCGCCGCGGACGACGGCTATTCAGCGGGCAAGGCGCGCGTGCCCTGGCCCAAGCTGCTGCGCCGCCACTGGTTCGCGCTGCGGCGCTCCGCCACGTCCGGCCCCGCAGCGGCGCTCGCTGCGGCGGCGGCGGCGCTGCTGCTGATGGCACTGCTGGCTGTCTTATATTCAAAAAGCGTGGCGGCAGGCTGGCAGGTGGGGTGAGGGCCGGCCGTCGGCGCAGCGTCATGAGCGCCATGGCCAATCTGTCGTGTGCAGCCGAGTCTGGCCGCAGCTGCCGTTATGACTTGTTGGTTTGCTCCTTGTGGCGATCAGGCTTCCCACAACCGAATTCGTCCCCACCCCAGCGCTTCAAGCCCGACACCCAGCAAGCGCGCACAAGCCCTCTCCCGCCCCGCCCCGCCCTGCCCCCTCCCTCGTCGCTCCGCGCAGCTCGGCGCCGCGCCGCCACCTGCCGCGGGCCACTTGATCTTCCTCGACGCCGGCAGCACCGGCACACGCGCCCACGTGTTCAGATACGAGGCTCCCGGCCGCAAAGGGGGCGGCCAGGACGCATACGCGAGGATCGTCCTGCCCGAGCCAAAGCTCAAGGTCGAGCCGGGCCTGTCCCACTTCGCCCCCGACCCCGCCGGCGCCGCCGCGTCGCTGCGCCCGCTGCTCGACTTCGCGCGCGAACACGTGCCGCCCGCCGCGCGCGCCGCGACGCCGGTGCGGCTGATGGCGACGGCCGGCCTGCGGCTGCTGCCCGGCGGTGCGGCGGCGGCTGTGCTCGACGCGTGCAGGCGGGAGCTTGCAGCTTCAGGCTTCCTGTTCCGGCCTGAGTGGGCGGAGGTGATCAGCGGGCGCGCCGAGGGGCTGTTCGCGTGGGCGGCCGCGAATTACGCGGCGGGGGCGCTGGAGGAGGCCGCGGCAGCGGCGGCGGTGGCGCGCAAGTCGCCGCGCGACTGGGGGAAGTTTTCGGGGCTGCTCGAGCTGGGGGGCGCGTCGGCGCAGGTAACATACCTGCTAGTGGACAAGGAGCGGCAGCAGGAGCAGCAGCAGCAGCAGCAGGAGCAGCAGCAGCAGCAGCAGGAGCAGCAGGAGCAGCAGGAGCAGCAGGAGCAGCAGGAGCAGCAGCAGCAAGGGCAGTGGCGGGGGCAGGCGCAGGGGCAGCAGCAGGCAGCAGGACAGGGACGGACAGAGGGCGGTGGCCGCATGAACCCCAGGGAAGATTTAGAGGACGAGCCGTGGGGCCAGCGGCGGCAGCAGCAGCAGCAGCAGCAGCAGCAGCAGCAGCAGCAGCAGCTTGAGCGGCGCCGCAGGTCGCGGCGCGAGCGGCGGAAGCACATCCACCTGCAGCTGCCGGGTGAGCCTGTTCGTCGCGCAGCCCTGGGGGTCCTGCGTCGCGACGGCCGTGGTAGCAGCGGGGATGCTTGGCACTCTCGGGCAGACAGGCTAGTGTGCATGGGGAGCGACCGCAATGCCTTCTGATTGCGCAGTGATTTTTTCCCCCAACACTGGCATAGTTCAGTTGACACCGCACACACTTGCACGCTCGTGCGTGGGCGGACACACACACTCACATGCTCACACATCACTCTCTCACAAACACATACACACACACACACACAAACACAAACACACACACACACACACACACACATCCCCCCCACACACACTCACGCAACCCCAGGCGTCACCAAGCGCCTTTTCACCCACAGCTACCTGGGCTATGGCTTTGATGTCCTGGAGGCCAAGCTGGCAGCAGCTCTGCACCCCGACAACGCCGTGCACGGCGCTGCTGCGGCGACCCCGGGCAGCGCCGCCGCCGTGGCGGCAGCGGACCCATGCCTTCCGAACGGGTGCGGTCCGGCTGTTCTCGGGTTTGCGGCGGGTTCCCCCGATGGCCTTTGCTGCTGCTGCTGCTGCTTTGGGTGGCACATGCTGCGGCAAGACATATCTTGACGCGTTGCACCCGCCTGAGCCACCTAGTTTGTGGCAATCCCCAAGCCTGGGCAGCCGGCTGATCTGATCCCCCTGGTGTTGCCGCGCGCCTGCATGACAGGTACAAATCAAACGACGGCCGTGTCGGCGTCGGCGACTGGCATGAATGCCAGCGGCGCTTGGCGGCGGCCATGAACCCAGACGGCTGCCGCATGCGCGTGTCGTACGCAGAGGCTGTCGCGATCGCCCCGGGCGGTGCGGGTAGCAGCAGCAGCGGCGGCGGTCACGGCGCCGGCAGCCTAGACAGCGGCAGCCCAGACATCGGCAGCGCAAACAGCGGCGGCGGCGGCGGCGGCGTCAGCTGCCCGGAGTTCCCGGAGTCGCCGCCGCCGCTGCCCCCGACGCTGCTCGCCACCGAGAACTTCTTCTACACCGCCGCGGCGCTCTCCCTCCCGCCGCGCGCTGACCTGGCGGCCCTCGAGGCGGCCGCGGCCGCTTTCTGCGCGCGGCCGTGGGAGGAGACGCTCGCATCCTGGGCCGCCGCCGGCGCCGCGCTCGGCGCCGGCGGCGGCGCGGCGGAGCAGCATGCGGGGCAGCAGCGGTTCCTCTGGCGCTACTGCTTCGGGTCGGCCCTGGTTTGGACGCTGCTGCACGACGTGCTGAAGGTGCCCCAGGGGCAGCAGCTGCTGTTTACGAACACGCTGACGAGGCGGGACGGGGCAGAGGTCGGGCTGGACTGGGCGCTTGGAGCGGCGGTGTGCGCCCTCATGGGCTGCACTGTGGACGACGGCGGCGGCGGCGGCGGCGGCGGCGGCGGCGGCGGCGGCGGCAGTGGGGGCGGGCTGTGGGGCCGGCCGCTCGCGGCCGGCGGCACGGGGCGTTGGGCGCTGGCCGCGGCGGCTGGCGCTTGCGCGGTCCTCGCGGCCGCCACGGCGGCGCGGCGAATGCGGCGCGGCGGCGCGCCCCTGCTGGCGCGCTGGAGGCGCGGCGGCGCCGGCAGCCGTGCCAGGAGCGGC